CTGACAAATCTTAAAGAATCCCCTGGTGTTAATGGGGCGTTAATACTTGGCATGGTGCCCTAGGTGTGATATATATGAAAATGACAGTAAGGTATGAAATGTGTCACATATGTAATGAGTAGCATCAAAACAAGCAGATAAAGGAGACCCGCAAAATACACACACAAAAAAAGAGAAGAGAAAACCAAAAGAAAAAAGAAAAGAAAAACAGAAAAGAAAAGGTGTCGCAAAAGGCTGGCACCAAAACTCTGATAAACCTATCAGCATATTTTAATACTTCCTTCTTCCTAAATCCCAGCTATTAGCCACTGCATTATGAAAAAACAGATAAATTAGATTAGAACCTCATTCCTTACAGCTTTGAATGATCAAGCTGCATATATGTAATGTATTATTCACTAACAAATAGGGCCAACAAGCCGCAATGAATTAGGAAAATAAAACGCAATTGAAAAGAGAAAGAAACCAGAAACCAAAGTTAGATTTCCAAAGCGACAAAGAATGTTACGTGGGTTTTTTTTTGTTTGTTTGTTTGTTTTTTTTAAGCCTGACCCAAATCCTGGACGAATTTAGCCGCATCCGCAGCTGACGGGAGCCACTTCTTATCTCCGTTCGGGAGTGTGATGCGCAACTTTGCAGGAAATAGCAACGCCGGCTTGTATCCCCGCTTGTACAGTTCGGTCATGGCACCGCTGTATTCGCTGCGCTGCTTCACAACCTCTGGACTGTAGTCATCATAGAAGCGGATCCTATGTCCCTGGTAAGACAGTGCACCCCTCTTGCGGGCTTCACGGATAATCAGGTCTTTCTCTTGGAATCTGTGGAAGCGCAGGATGACAGGGCGAGGACGAGATCCCGGAGCGGGCTTGGGGGCGAGGGTGCGGTGCGCTCGATCTATCTCAGGAGGGGAAGGGAGCGCGTCTTGACCGAAGACTTCAGTCAAAAGCTGAGAAAAAAACGAGGATGGCCGGGGACCTTCTATATCTTCTGGTAAACCGATAATGCGAATGTTTTGGCGCCTGCTGCGCCCCTCCAGATCCACCACTTTAGCTCTCAGCATCCCATTTTCTTTTTGAAGATTAGCACACACCTTCTCCACCTGCAGCAAGCGCGCATCAGAAGCAGTTGCATTATCTTCCAAAGAGCAAATACGCTGACCGTGATCCGTGATAGTAGAGTTGATGCTGTTCAGTGTGGAGTTCAGAGACTCAAAAGACAATTTGAACTCTGCAGACAGGGCCTCTTTATGATTGCTAAGGAGCGAGCTAATGTCCGCCATTGTTATGCTAGCTGTAGTCGGGGGCGCGTCTTTTTCTCGTTCAGAGGATTTTCCTTTGGCCTTGGACATGACAAATTGAGTCTTACGAGAAAGAATAACTTTAAAAAAAAATTAAATACTGTACTCTCTGCAAAGGAGATGAGGTTTCAGGGAAGTATGTAAAGCACAGATGCAGCAGCAGTCCAAGCGAGCGTCTACTCCTCACGCATCCCAACAGGAAGTATCTTGCTGAATTTTTTGACGTGGGTGTGTCAGCTTCACACAGCCGGAACGACATCAGAAAGAATTAAACCTGCGTAAACCTATAATTTAACCTGGTTGAACCTCAATAAACCTTCTTAAACCTCGTTTAAACGGATTAAACCTTATTAAACCTTATTAAACCTGGTGAAACCTCATTAAAATAGGTCGAAGCTGGTGAAACCTCATCACAGAGTCTGTCAGATATTATGTTTAACATCAAACCTGGTCCAACCTGATCAAACTTGGTTAAATCAGTCTTAAACCTGGTTAAACCTAATTAAAATTGGTCAAACTGGCCAGACCTGGTACAATTGCGGTTAGTATAGTGGTGAGAGTACCCTACCCTACACGGGGAAATACACGTGTACATATTCTACTTTGTAAGTCGCTTTGGATAAAAGTGTCTATTAAATGCACAAACATAAAATTAGGTTAAACCTGGTTACATTTGTTAAACCTGGTTAAACATGATCAAACCTGGTTATATTCAGTTAAACTTGGTCAAACTTATTTAAATTTGGTCAAAGATGGTTTAACCTCATCGACAGCCTGTCAGTGAGCAGGATGCTGCTGGGTTCCTTATACTGCTTCTCACTTTTCTCCTGTTCTCTTCTTGTTTGATCAGAGTGAAAGATGGCAGCACCACCAGGAGAAAGGAGAAAGACAAAGAAGGAAGTCCTCCTCCGGACTTTGGAGGATTTAGTGGATAAAGAGTTTAAAAGATTTAAGTGGTTTTTGTCCCTAAGGGGGGGCCTTGGAGACTTCCCATCAATCCCAAAATCCCGACTGGAGAATTTAGACAGGATGGATACAGTGGATCTAATGTTCATGACGTACTGCATCAACACAGTCACAGTCACAAAAAGGCTTTTGGTTCAAATCGACAGAAATGATCTGGACATGGAACTCCGCCCACACTTGTCAGACCCTGAAGGTGAGTCCGTCTGATGGATTATCCACTAGAACCTACTTGGCTCTGTTCTTAGGGGGACAGGTTTGTGGGGTGCCTTAACCTACCCTACACAATGCTGCTCTACCCCATTGTACCCTACCCCTACCTTACCCTGTCCTACCATACTGTACTCTACCCTACTCACAAGTACAGACTTCATGCATTCCTGGGACTCACTGACTCGCTGTTACCTTTCCCCTTCCTTCCAACCCCACCATCCCTCCCTCCCTATGTGTCCTTGATTTGACTGTATCTGTGCTTAAGTGTACTGAGGTGTTTTTTTAAATCACTGTTACGTCCCCTGTAGGGGGCGTGGCACTGGGCCTTTTTTTCCCTCTTCCTGCAACCGCTTTCCCAATGTATTCTGTATTCTTTTGGTTCTGAAGATTTGATTCTGGCGCTGTGTAGACGGCTGCCTCTCCAGTATCTTCTGGTAACCTTAATTTCCTGAGGGAGTCTTCCCAAGGGATCAATAAAGTTCAGTCTAAGTCTAAGTCTAAGTCTCTACTCTACCCAGTCCCATCCTAAACTATCCTACCCTACCCTGCCCTCTCCTATCCTACATTACCCTGCCCTACCCTATCCTACGCTACCATACCCTACTCTTTTCTACCCTTCTGTACCTTACTCTACTTTACCCTACCTAACTCTACCCCACCCTACACTACCTTACTGTACCCAACCTTACTCAACCCTACACTATCCTATCCAACCCTACCCTACCTTACTCTACTCTACCCTGTCCTATCTTACTCTTCCCTGCCCTGCCGTATCATATGCTACCCTAACCTACCAAACTCTAATTTACCATATTCTACCTTACTCTACTCTACCCTACCCTATTCTACCCTGCCCTATCCAATGCCACCCTACCTTATTTTACTCCACCCTGTCCTACTCTACCTTACTCTACCCTACCCTATTCTACCCTGCCCTATCCTAAACTACGCTACCTTACTCTACTCCACTCTGTCCTACCCTTACCCTACACTATTTTATCCTACCCTACCCGGTCCTACCTCACCCTACTCTACCCTCCCCTGCCTTACCTTACCCTACCCTGTACTTGGCCATCGGCTCAACTTAAGCCGATAACCCAAAACCTCACTGATGATCACAGAAGTAATGTAGTCACACGTTCATTTATAGACTGATGTATGTAAGATACTCCCACAAAAACTGTGATCTGTCTGGCCTTAAACAATAAAGGGTTTGTTCTGTCTCCATCCAGAGATTGTCCAGGAGTGTCAGCAGGACCTGAAAGCTGCGCTACAGGAGAAGTTTGAGCGGGTGTCTGTTGGGCTTGATTCAGAAGCAAATGACAACCTCCTGAACCAAATCTACACCGAGCTCTACATCACAAAGGGAGGCACCGCACAGTTCAACGATGAACACGAAGTCAGACAGATTGAAGCAGCTTCCAGGAAGGCAGCCGGACCAGAAACGACCATCAGACAGGAAGACATCTTTAAAGGCCCACCTGGAAGAAGGCAGCCAATCAGAGCAGTTGTGACGAGAGGGGTGGCTGGCATTGGGAAAACAGTCCTGACCCAAAAGTTCACTCTGGACTGGGCTGAAGGCAAAGCCAACCAGGACATCAAGTTCCTGTTTCCCTTCACCTTTAGAGAGCTGAATGAGCTTAGAGGGAAACAGTTCAGCTTGGTGGAACTTGTTCATTACTTCTTTCCTGCAACCGAAGAAGCAGGAATCTGCAGCTTTTCCAGGTTCCAGGTTGTGTTCATCTTTGACGGTCTGGATGAGAGCCGACTTCTTCTGGACTGGAAAAAGAAGCCCCTGAATGACGTCACAGAGTCCGGCTCAGTGGATGTGCTGCTGACCAGCCTCATCAGGGGGAAGCTGCTTCCCTCTGCTCGCCTCTGGATAACCACACGGCCTGCTGCGGCCAATCAGATCCCTACTGACTGCGTCAGCATGGTGACGGAGGTCAGAGGCTTCACTGACGAGCAGAAAGAGCAATATTTCAGGAAGAGGTTCCCAGATGAGACCCAGGCCAGCAGCATCATTTCCCACATCAAGAGCTGCCGGAGCCTCCACATCATGTGCCACATCCCAGTCTTCTGCTGGATCTCTGCTGGAGTTCTCGGGGACGAGCTGAGAACCAGAGGGGGAGGGCAGCTTCCAAGGAGCCTTACTGAAATGTACATCCACTTCCTGGTGGTTCAGACGAAAGTGAAGAGGGTCAAGTGTGACGGAGGAGCCACAGAAAGTGCAGAAATGAGAAAGATGGTGGAGTCTCTGGGGAAACTGGCCTTTGAGCAGCTGCAGAAAGGAAACCTAATCTTCTATGAATCCGACCTGGGAGAGTGTGGCATCGATGTCAGAGACGCCTCACTGTACTCTGGTGTCTTCACACAAGTCTTCAAGGCAGAGAGAGGGCTGTACAAGAACATCTTCTACAGCTTCGTCCATCTGAGCATCCAGGAGTTTCTGGCTGCTGTCTATGTGCTCCACTGCCACAGAAGCAGAAGCATTGAGGCTCTGCAGGACCTCCTGGGCAGGCGCTGGATGTCCAGACACTCAGCGGCAACTCTGGATGCTTTCCTGAAGAAAATCATGGAGATTTCCCTGCGCAGTCCAAACGGCCATCTGGACCTGATGGTCCGCTTCCTGCATGGCCTCTCTGTGGAGTCCAACCAGAAGCTGCTGGATCGCCTGCTGGGTCGGGTCGCCTACAGTCCCGAGGCCATCCAGAAGGTCAGCAACAACCTGAAGGAGATGAACTGTGACATTCCAATCTTGCAGGTCTTTCCAGACAGGAGCATCAACGTCTTCCACTGCCTGATGGAGATGAACGACCTCTCAGTTTTTCAGGAGATCACTGAGTTCCTGAAATCGCAGAACAGGTCGCAGAAGAAGCTCTCAGACATCCAGTGCTCGGCTCTGGCCCACATGCTGCAGATGTCAGAGGAGGTTCTGGAGGAGTTTGATCCAACCGAATACAGCCCCGCAGACCATGATCAGATGATACTGATCCCAGTCGTGAGGAACTGCAGGAGGTTCCGGTGAGTCCAGTTCCAATCTGTATCATGACTCAGCTGATTCAGAATCTGTGCTTTTGGGGGCAGAAATATGTGAGGACTGATTTCCTGGTGGGTCCTACCATCTAGGGATCCTGGGGGTGGATGGATAGACTTTAGAGCTTCCCAGAATTCTGAGTTCTGGAGCTGCTGTTCTGTTCCAAGCGGCTGTCCCAACATGATTAGCTGTTGACCCAGAGCTGGTTCTGGACTCATGGTTTTATGAAAGCAGCATGTGTGTGTAATCCCCTGCTGGTTCTGGTGCTGGTTCTGGACCCTAATGATCCTGTCTTCATGGCAGAATCTCTACCTATGAGCTGTCGAACCCTCAATGTGAAGTCATTGCCTCAGCGATGAAGTCCAGCCCGTCCCACCTGAGGGAGCTGGACCTGAAGCGCAACAGAATCTCATCGGCTGGGATCCTGTGCAGTGGACTGCAGAGTCCAAACTGTCAGCTGGAGGTTCTGAGGTCTGGTCTGTTTGGGTCTCCCCAGTGGGATGTGTTAAATGTGTGTTAAAAGTGTGTAATATAAGTACTGTGTGTACTGTCTGTACTGTGTGTAACGTGTGTAATGAGTGTATTGTGTGTAGTGTGTGTACTGTGTGTTATATGTATACTGTGAGTAATGTGTGTACTGTGTGTAATTTGTGTACTGTCTGTAGTGTGTATACTGTGTGTACTGTGTATACTGTGTGTAATGTCTGTGCTTTGTGGTTGCAGACTCAATAGCCTCTCAGACATTGACTGTGGACTCATGGCCTCGGCTCTGAGGTCCGGTCCCCCCCGTTTGAAGGAGCTGGACTTGGCAGACTGTGACCTTTCTGGTCCAGGAGCCCAGTTTGTGTGTGTCCCTCTGCAGAGTCCAGACCACCAACTCGAGGCCCTGAGGTCAGTTTGCTGTCATGAGGGACTGTGCTGGACCCAATCCGGGTCTGGGTCGGTTTGTGCTCGTTTCCTCATGTGGCTGACCTGCTTCTTTCTGTGTGCAGTCTGGACTTCTGTGAGCTTTCAGACCAGGGTTATGAGTCTGTGGCCTCAGCCCTGATGAGCAGCCCCTCCTACCTGAAGAGGCTGGAGCTGAATGGCCAAAGACCAGGGGACTTGGGAGTGGCCCTCCTGTCTGCTGGACTGGGGAGTCCCACCTGTGAGCTGCACACTCTCAGGTATGTTGTGATGCTAACAGCTGATGCTGGTGGGTCCCAGCTCTGTGTTGGAGGCTGCCCGGGCATCTCTCTGGCTGGAACCAGCTGTCATCCATCATCTGTTGGGTTTGTTTGTTGCAGAATGGACAAATGTGACCTGTCAGAGGGCAGCTGTGTGCTTATTGGCTCTGCTCTGGAGGCCAACCCCTCCCACCTGAGATGGCTGAGCCTCAAGGACTGCAGGTTTGGTGGCTCTGCTGTGAAGCCATTAGCTGGTTTTCTGAAGAGTCCCCGCTGTAAGCTGCAGACTCTGAGGTCAGAGAACTGGATGGATGGATGGATAGATGATGGGTGGATGGTGGATGGATGGATGATGGGGGTTGACAGTCCAGTTGGTTTTGTGTGCAGCCTCTACCACTGCGGCTTGTCAGGGACCAGCTTCTCCTTTCTGGTCTCTGCTCTGGTGTCCAACCCCTCCCACCTGCTGGAGAAACTGGACCTGAGCTGGAACAAGCTGCGAGACTCGGGAGTGAAGGAGCTGTGCGGCTTCCTGCAGAGCCCCCAGTGCGCTCTGCTCATTCTGAGGTCAGTTCCACTTACAGTGGTGAGCCTGTGGGGGCAGGCCGAGGGGCCTCTGCTCACCTCTGTTCAATTCTGAAAGACTCTCATTAGCATCCAGTCCAGATGGAACTGAAGCTAACAAGAGCTGGTTCCATCTGGACCTGATGCTAACGAGAGCCGGTCCAGATGGAACTGATGCTAACGAGAGCCAGTCCAGATGGAACTGATGCTAACGAGAGCTGGTCCAGATGGAACTGATGCTAACAAGAGCCGGTTCCATCTGGACCTGATGCTAACGAGAGCCGGTCCAGATGGACCTGATGCTAACGAGAGCCGGTCCATTCGGAGCTGATGCTACAGAGAGCCGGTCCAGATGGACCTGATGCTACAGAGAGCCGGTCCATCTGGACCTGATACTACAGGGAGCCGGTCCAGATGGACCTGATGCTACTTTGGGCCTAATATTGTTCTGGACCTGGAGAACTGGGCTGCTCTAACAGGCTTTCCTGTTGCAGGCTGGAGAAGTGCCGCCTGACGGCCGTCAGCTGCTCTTTACTGGCCTTGGCTCTGCGGTCTGGCCCGGCCCGGCTGAAGGAACTGGACCTGAGCAACAACAAGCTGCAGGATAGAGGAGTGATGGAGCTGTGCGGCTTCCTGGGGGGTCCCAGCTGCAGGCTGCAGACTCTGAGGTCAGTTCCTGTCTGCATGGTGACATCTGAACACACTGAAGGGTAAAAACCAGCCCAGACCACTGTGGGTTCTGGGCCGTCTCAGGCGGGCCCAACAGCAGGGGCACCCGACTGGATTTACTCACAGTGCTGTTTCCAGGACTGTTCTGAAGGTCTTTTTTACCCAGCCGGCCGGTTCTTGAACTGAAGCCTGAGGCCTTTTAGTAGCTCTTTCAGGCCTAATCGCCCACTTTTAACCCTCTTTGGGTCTCGGCCTTACCCAAACCAGCTTAGGCCAGAAACAAGGAGCTCAGAGTGATCACTTTGGACCACTTTGGATCCCTCTGGGCCTCGTGTGGGCCTGAAAGCTCTAAAGTCTCTTATTTCCTGATAGCATGTGGTATAAGGCTGAGCTCAGAGTGGAGCTGGAGCTGGATGTTAGAGGCTCTTTTTGGATAAAGCATCTTCTGGAAAGTGATGTGATGTGTTTCCCTCCTGCAGCCTGGACCGCTGCTGCCTGTCAAAGACCAGCTGCGATGCTCTGGCTTCCACACAGAGGTCCAACGTGGCCACCCTGAGGGAGCTGAGCCTTGACTTCAACAACCTCAAAAAGCAGGATGTGGAGCGTTTGGTCCACCTTCAGAACAGTCCCAGCTCCAAACTGAAGAATCTGAAGTATGTCAGCTGGAGTTTTCAGGAAGCTCCAGCAACCAGCCCCCTGCTGCCAGTGGGCTGCCAGTCTGCTAGCAGTCTACTGCCAGTCTGCTGCCAGTCTTCTGTAATTGGGCCTCCAGTCTGCTGCCAGTCGGCTGCCAGTCTACTGCCAGCCTGCTACCACTCGTCTGCCAGTCTACTGCCAGTGGGCTTCCAGTCTGCTGCCAGTCCACTGCCAGTCCACTGCCAGTCTACTGCCAGTCTACTGCCAGTCTACTGCCAGTCTACTGCCAGTCTACTGGCAGTCTTCTACCAGTTTACTGGCAGTCTGATGCCCGTCTGTTGCCAGTCGGCTTGCAGTCTGCTTCCAGTCTGCTGCTAGTCTGCTGCCAGTCTACTGCCAGTCTACTGCCAGTCTTCTACCAGTTTACTGGCAGTCTGATGCCCGTCTGTTGCCAGTCGGCTTCCAGAGGTGTGGAGATGCTCACTTCTCTGTTCTGCTTCTCCTCTCTGCAGCTGGGAGCTGTGAATAGGACTCCCTCCTATGGCTCTGAGGGGCTCCATCCAGATGTTGGTCATCAGAACGATGCGGAAGCAGACGGAACCCCCCCCCACTGACTGGACAGAGCCGGCTGTCTGACCCTTTACAGCTGATTTTATCAGGAACCTTACAGAAGGTCATGACTCAGGACGGCTTAACTGGACACACTGCTTGACTTTGACTTTAATAAAGATGGTTAGCTCTTGCTGAATGGAAACATGAGGATTGTTAAACGATTATCAAACAGGATGTGGATGTAAAGCATTAAAGATGAAAAGCTATGGCAGGAACTGCGTTTCCTCATGTTTGTGATGAGCTGCCTCGGACTCAGAGCCTGCTCAACATCAGCGCCACCTGCTGGCAGAAGAGACCAGCTGAGCCAAGACGGTAAACAGCTGCTACCAGCTGCACTAACCGGCTGTAACTTGCTGCTCTAACTGGCTGTAACTAGCTGTTATAACCAGCTTTTACCAGCTTTTTCCAGTTGTTACCAGCTGCTCTAACCAGCTGTTTCCAGCTGCAACAGCACATCTGTACAGTTCATGGCTCCTTGTTGAACGATGAACTGTGAGAAGATCAACCATTTAATTCCTGACAGAGCAGCCAGACCAGGCAGGTTGGTTATTGCAGACCAGCGGTTTGTGGTCCCTCTGCAGAACCTGCTAGAGCTCCATGTGTAGCTACTGTAGCTCTCCCTGTGGTCCCAGCAGACCAGCGGCTCTTCCTGTGGTCCCAGCAGTCCAGCAGCTCTTCCTGTGGTCCCAGCAGACCAGCAGTTCTTCCTGTGGTCCCAGTCGGTACATCGGCGGTACATCGACAGCCTTAATAATCCTGCAGATGATATAACAAAGGGAAAATCCCATCTGGAACTTGCAGGACCTGGTCGCTGGAGTCAAGGGCCAAAAAGACCTAAGCAAAGTTCCACAGTGGGCTCATCTGAACTGAAAGGTGTAACCTTCTGCTGCCTAGTAGTGGTGGAGCACAAGGAGGACACCCCAGATGCACCTCAGTATAGTTGATGGAGGGACCTGGTGGAGGCAACGTGGCAAGTTTATGGGGTGGCAGTAACAATTCTTGCGTGGAACCAGATCATTAGTCACCAAGACACAGAGGTCTTGTTGCTGAGAGGATGTCAAGCTCAGACCTTTTCCGGAGAAATCGCTGCACTTAAAGCACAGAAACCTGTCCCCAATCACAGTTGTCTACTTTGCCTTGCGCCTGAGTCCTAAGTGTGACGCAGCAAATGGTCTCATCCATGGGGGAGGGAGCTGCGCCGGTCGCAGAATCCAAGCGTTGGGGAGATTCATCCAATCGTGCTTGATCCAAAGCAACCCGCTGTCAAACTCCTTATCAAAGACATGGATGAACATCTACTGCATCCAGGTACTCAACATGTCTATGACAAATTACGGAGGCACTTGTCAGTGCTGGAGAGCCCAGCCAAGGGTACCACAAATGGCAGGTTTGCCTATGCAACGCCTCAGGCTTCTATGTCCACCCTTTTACTCAACTGGTGTTGACTGTTTTGTGCCTTACCAGATCAAGATAGGTAGGAAGACAGAGAGGTGCTGGGGAGTGGTATTCAAGTGCCTCACGACTTGAGCAGTGCAAATAGGGCTTCTGAACTCTATGGATGTGGATACTTTCCTCCTGGTTCTTCGTCGTTTTATTGCTAGGCGAGGTCGACCAAAGGAAATATTGTTAAGACTGTGGGACCAACTTCCGCGGCGCTGAGCAAGAGCTAAGGGAAGCCTTTGCAGCCATTGAACCATAGCTGAAAGAGCAACTGATGGAATACCAGATTGCCTTCAAGTTCAACCCACCTAACACTCCTCACTCTGGCGGTACATGGGAGAGAGATAGTCTATCAAAGGTGACTCTTGGTAGGAATTGTTGGGCTTCTGTAGATAACTTCTGCATAGTGTCTGACATGCCATTTAGAAAGCTGTGAGTTGACCGTTGCAATTTGGCACTATATAAGTAAACTTGAATTCTCGTTGGCCTTGCCTCCATAATGGCCTTCCTTTGTCAAAGCACGAGGGGCATTTTTTATTTGTGCTGTGGACTAAGACAGTACCTGATGTTTAGTCTTTTATATTCACAATAAAACTAACAAAAATCCTCATTTACTCTCTGGATTGTAAAATCCCAGTTTCCTTTTACATATAGTGGTTGTTATGAAGTATGCAAATCATTTTTAACAATCTGGGAATTGTTCATCTTGAAAACTTTTCCCAGCCCCACATTGCTATAACAGGTACAGCTCAACCTTTTAGGTAAATTCTTTGTGGGGACAATCTGAAATGATGCATTTGTTTAAATCTAGTGCAGTTGAGCAAGAAAATCTTTATTTTCAAAGGACCAGTTCAGAGAAAGCTTACTGAATACTGCCACATCTATAAATATTATTTCCATTTCTATCACAAACCGTTTCTATTTGAACATCAAATAAAAGTATGAGGACAAACATCTTGATTAGCATTTTTATTGAAAACACGGGTCCCACTCAGGCTATGCTGCCAGCGTTGGAGGCGATCCTGGGCCAAAGGTCGGCGCACTCTTTGGCGACGGGGCCTGTGATAGCAGAACCTGCAGGCAGACCACAGATGAGGGGGGTTAACAGATAAAGCAGCAAGGAAGGATGCCGTGGTGACAGAGGAATGGGGCCTTCTTCACTGGAAGGCCAGTTGTCTCATCCCTGATTGAGATCGGTCGGCCACAGGAAGTCGCTGCCGTCTCACCCACAGTGATGAGGTTAATGTTCCCTTCTACGACAACTCACCCAGCCACCGAGCAGACAAAGCAAGTGCTTTTGGAAGGGGAAAACAACCCAACTGCAACCTAAATCCCTCTAAATCAGCATTAATGTGCGAGGCTGAGGCATCCAACAAAATCTCTGATACATGCAGAAAAAAACAAAAAAAAACACCTGGCCAAATACCCACCTTTCATCTCTCCTTTGTTGTTCACTATGACCCCCGCGTTGTCCTCAAAGTAGAGAAACACGCCATCTTTTCGCCGGTACGACTTCCGCTGCCGGATCACCACCGCAGGATGCACTGAGAGGGCAGAGGGAGCCGGTCAGAGCCACACCCGCCTCAGGCTGCCATGAAATGACAGACGGGCCACATATTCCACTTGATTTAGACGGTTTCTTTAAAAACGCAGTGCTCTGTGAGCTGCGCTGAGGAAGCGTGCTCTCTGCACAGGCTCAGGAAAATGACTACAGGAAAACCATAAAGTCAGCAGTGACAGGAGGCTGCAGCCTGCTGGTAAACGCCCCCCATAAAACAACTGCTCTTTCAATGTCCAGGATTAAAACCTTTTTTTCTCAAATTTTCCCAAATGTGGCTTTCGGGACCAACTTCAACTTATTGACGACAGGAAGGAGTTCCATCCCATTTGGCCACACAGTGTACCATTAATTATGCCTACAGGGTTCCTCATGATTCAAAGTGACAGAGTAAACACCAATAACATCAGATATTAAAACATTAAAATTGACCACTGATATTTCATTGCTGTCTTCCAATGACTATATTTTAGGTTTCAACTGACGTTTAAACACTAGGAAAACTGATTTTTAACCAATTATTAGATCAACTATGACATTTTCGTCTCCATGTGTCTGTTATAATGGAGTAAAACAAGCATTGCAGCATCAGGGAACAAGTGGCCAGAGTTGCTGGTCATAGCAGAAAAAAGCTGCTGAATGACCTAAACTCACTTTTCAACTTTTAATCTTAGTTATCACGACAGTGATGCATTTCCATGCACCCCCAACATTGTGCCCGTTTTCCCCACTCACCCTTCTTCCTGAGCTCTGGCTTGCCTTTCTTGACTGTGGCCATGACCATGTCGCCGACTCCTGCAGCGGGCAGCCGGTTCAGACGCCCCTTGATGCCCTTCACAGAGATTATGTACAGGTTCTTTGCACCTGGGGGGTACAGATGGACAAACAACAAACATGGTGAAAACTGAGCAACATAGGAGGAGAGGAAGAAATCAGAAACTGGAAGAGCGTCCACATGATCGAGGCCCTCCTGCTCAGCCCAGATGCCATTTGTGAGCTTGTCTCATCCCTGATTGAGATCAATCAGCCAATAAAAAAGCCGCCATCTCACCCACAGTGATGATTTCAATATTTCCTTCTACGACAACTCACCCAGCCACTGAGCAGACAAAGCAAGTGCTTTTGGAAGGATAAAATACAACCAAATAAAAAACAGGGCTCTGCCACTAAGCAAATACGTATGCATTGTGATGCCATCTACACAAAACGCACAACATAATCGGAAGCTCACCTGTGTTGTCGGCGCAGTTGATCACCGCTCCCACTGGGAGACCCAGCGAGATGCGGAACTTCGCTCCAGACGATCCTCCACGTCCTGCCAGGAAAGAAACAGCAGGAATTAGCCGATCAGTGACTTTTCCTAAAGCTGTCAAAGCCCATCTCTGAAGCCAATCCACCACAAGCTATTCTATTTTACACCAGCTGCTTTAGTTCAAATGTCATTTCAGACAAAATCGAAACTTCATGGAAGTGAACAGACTTCTTAACACCTGACAAACTCCCTTCATATGAATGAGCCCCTCTTCTAATTTATGAACTGGCACATGAACAAAAAACGTGCTTTCAAAGTATGACTTATCCTGTTCAACAACCAAAAAAGTTTAAATGGTAGGCTTAACTTTGACTAGTTTTGTTTTATTCATTTGTACCCAAAAGATCCCATCATGTATCAATATAGTTACCAGAAACTATATAACACGTTGCATGTTAGCCTGGTTCAACAGATGGATACCCGCTTGTTTTAATAAAAATTAATCCCAATGGGGAGAACCACTATAAATTACCATTTTACTTGAAAAACCTGTATAATTCCTCAAAATCTTTGAAAAATAGTGGATAACTTCGCTGTCGTGTATGTCATGCTACATATACACCGGCTAAAACTAGCCTTCTTTGCTAGCATCGGCTATTTCCGTATAGAGCTTTATGCTGTTTCGATGAGCAGTTCAACGTATTCTTAATGAACATTTAATTAGAATGGATTAAAAGTAAGTCCGCTTAATTCGTGTACATTTTGCCACGACGCCAGCATGTTGAGTTTTAGTCAACTTTGCTCGTAGCATTTCTACATGGCGGTGATAGCCACCCGTGAACGAACCGCTGTAAAATGCTATCACTGTGCAATTGTCTAATTTGGACGACAGTTTGAAAAATAGTCAAATACAATGGGACATTTTCTTCTTACTGTCACATGTACGGTATAAGAAATGATTACTTTTGGTAACAAGAGCAGATGAATGCAGATTTTACAAGATGGGTTTCATACCTCTCTTAGACATTGCTGCAGTAGGGAAAGAGGGAGGCGAAGAAAGGAATTGTGGGATATCAAGTCGAGCGGAAGTGCTTCCGGGTCATAGCGGGGAGCCGCGATTCATAAACATGTATACGTTTTACAAACTGTGTGGGCAGCAAGAAACCATATTTATGCAACAAATTTACACTATTCAGTAAAACAGATTATTAGGGCCACATAAAAAAAAAAAAAATTATGAGATTAAATTCTTTATTAAATACGGCGAGAATAAATTACGACATTAAAGTCGTCATTAAACATGGCGATAATTAATTACGAGATTAAATACGACTTTAATCCCGTAATTAATTTAACTTTGTTCAATGTGGCTATCATACTCCGTCGTATTTAAGCAAGTAACAAATATGATTGAAGTTATACTTAATCTGTTGTTTCCCTTTCCTTTGTTCGCTTTTGATAAACTTCTTAATTCAGAGCTAACATCATGTGCTTTTGACTATCAGTCTTCATTATCCAATTAGTTTTTGTTTTCTCACAACATGTAATAATTGTGTATGGCCCTCAACTTTAAAAAGCGATACGGAGGACACGGTACAACGTGTTGGGCATCGGAACAGGAGCGCCCTCTGGTGGATGGCTTTGGTTCAGGGATACTCCCGACCCTCGCCATGTTTTCCTGGTACCTGTCGTGACAGGTGAACACAGTATGAGACACATAATAGAAACACATAATGCGCCCTACACTCCAAGCATGTGCAGCTACTCAATGTTCATTTTGCCTCAATAAAGTTGGTTCTAAAGGGGGAATACTGTGAAAACTGGCAACACACGCACTGTTTCCAACAGCGCGCTGCCGCACGCGCACCAGTACCAGGCGGCATTAGCGCAAAATGTTAGTTCTGATTTTTTATTGACTTTGATCTGTCAAATGCCTCCTTCGAAATAGAAATAGTGAGGAATTCTGCATTAGTTGCCTGGTTAAATCTAATCCCTTGTGTATATATATAAAAGTTAGAATAGTGCCTTTAGATGTCTGAAAGGTATGAAATAAAACTGCAAATAACAGTCAACCTAAGTGAACTGACTAACCTAATCAACATTGAACCTTCAAAAATGTGACTGATTTTCATCTCGTGGGGTATAACTGGCCAATCACTTGCATTTGTTGAACTTTAGCTGAGTAGGTGATGTAAATAGTCAAATTAAGTGGCAATCATTGGAAGTCATCACTCATCAGAAGTGGTAACATCAGTTCTACAATTACTCTCTCTTTTGCCATTTGAAAAAAGATCATAGAGTTTATAGAATGACAGCGCATGTGCAAAATCAACCTTTTAAAGCTTCAACCTTTTAAAACAACAACTTATGAGGGAAATTAATTAACAGTACAAAAAAGGCACTGTCTTCTTTAAAAAAATTAACAAAACATACAAACCAAATAGAGGCAGCTATGAAACTATGACAATCATCATCATCATAATTGGCTGTGTGGTTTTCTGCCTCTGGACCTACATAACTGGGCTTTGTACATACATGCTAAAACTGTACCGAGATTGTTTTTCTGCACAGTGTCTTGCATGTACCACCAGATAGCAGCAAACCATCAGCATTTCCATGCCACGCAGTTACCAGAATGTTTGGAATATTTCTTTCCAGGCAGCACTTGCTGAACACCCCTTTATTATTTACCCAAACCAGCCAAACAGAAAAAGATCAGTGCTGTGTCAACGTGTGCTCACTCACAGGAAACCAGTTTTAAAAGTGTGATGCACCATTCCGGTTCCCCCCTACAGGCATGGCTGTGATGGCTTTGTGACCACCTGCTATGGCTCAATGGGCCAAATCTGAGAAGAGGGAGGTTGAACTCCATGAGAACAGAGTTCTCTTTTACAGATTTAGGGATGACTACTATTGGAGAATCAGAGCAAGTAAGTAAAATGTAGGTTTCTCTGGGAGGGAGGACAGGTTGTTTATTTTCAGAGTTGAAGTGACTGCTATAGCATCGTAACTTGAAGGGAGACTATGCAACCTGATCACCAATCTGGAGATGATCTGGCAGAGACTGAATGCTGCTGCAAGACCTTGTAGTTCCTGAAGACATTCAATGAGATTAAGGTTTCCTCAATGGGCATCCTCCAGTCTGGGGGTTCTGCCTGCTCTGTCTGTGGGGTCACTGTCATGGTAGCAGCCCTAAGGCTGGAGCGTGGATCCGGCCGGCCCTGATCAGGGTGGTGTCCAGTGGCCTCTATGGTCACAGGTGGTGGGGCGCTGGGTCTGGACACGGTTTCCTCACTGTATGTATGTGTGTGTGGCTGTGTGTAGCTCATGAGATGAGGCCATGATCAGCTATGCTTTTAAACATTTCTTAGGTCGGTTACTCAAATGTGTGAAGACCTGTGTTTTTTTTTTAATTTTCTTATGTAAAGCACTTAGTGTTTGTATGAAAGGTGCTTTATCAACAACTAAACAAAAACTGAAAGGTGTGTGCCGAGCCAGCCTCCACTGTTTAAGAATGCTTTCCAAGCTGCTCAGCCATCTATGGCAAAAAATATGCAAAAAACCCCACAAAACATTCGCACAGCCATGCCGTTGTCATCTCACAGAATCAGCAGTCCATCAACTTGACCCTCTCACCCCATTTATTTATTTTTATCTAAGACATATGCTAAAAGATGGAGCTGTGGAGCATGTGTGTGGAACCAAGCCACATTGGAGTCTAGCAAATAACACACCCAAGTCATGATTTATTGGTTAAAAGATAGCCACATTATCCGGATAATGCACCCCTTTTTAGTTTCATGAACCGTGCAAATGCAGGCTGTGTGAAAGGTGTTTATAACATCACCGTGAAAAGATGTTAACACGTCATCAAGTCATTACTATTAAGTTTGATTAAATAAGTATTATTTTGCTGTAAGTCTTTGTAATTGTGTGTCTGCCAGCCTGATGTAAAAAAATTGTAAAAAAAAAAAAGATCATAATATGTTAAGATGATTTGATTGGCCCTAAGAAACTGCAAATGGAAAGTCATTTGAGATTAAATAGGAAAAAAAGAGGAAACATAAAGCCATAAGAAACTGACGGCTGTCTGCAGTGACTGAGACCTCGACAACACATTAGTACTAAAAACAAGCCCAACCTGAAGGAATAAACAAAAAAGAAATGGAAAAAACCTACTCTGATAGAGGAGGTGATGCAACACAATGATAAACAACCCTTTTCCTGTTATCAAATTCAAAAACAGCATATATCAAACACACACACAAAGAGCCTCAGTTTGAATAGTCTCTATATTGTCTTAGTTGTCTAATTGTTAAAGCAGGTTTAGGATTAAATCAAATGACCAGAAAAGTCTGATTTCTAAACAGCTTGTTTTTTATATACACTCTCCGCTTTACTTTCCAATATTGGGTTTATGTTAATTTATGTATGTTTCAGCAATGGAAAACATTTATATCAGCAGTTTTTCTTTTTGTTTACGAAAAGCATGTTTACTGTAAATTATTTTGCACTCGTTTTTATTCTTTATTGACTATTTTCTATCCTATAAGACAAGACAGACCAAGTCAACACAAACACCTTATATATACAATATAAGAGGCATTATCAATTCTTGTTGGGCTCATTTTTGTATCTAATCCAAATGTCATCTCCTTTACACAATGCATTCTTAAATAACGTCTTGTTATGTGTGGAGACACAGTTTGTAAGGTTCTGGTGTTATTTGGGATAATGATCAAAATAGAAGTTAATTTTTATGAAGAGATTCAATATGCTTTCATCCTAAACACATTACAGGCATGACGACGCTGCAGTGATGCATCCTCTCACACCCACAAAGCATTCACCAAATTATCGCCTGTCTCAGTCGGAGGCCATTTATGGTAATTGAACCTCAACACTTTCAGAAAATCCACAGATCTTCTTTTATGGAAACCTGGAGGAGGGATTTAGCGTTCTAATTCTAGTATTCCACTGTTCACATCATTCACAGTTTGGCCTGTTTGAGCTATGATTCACTGGACAGAAAATCCTAAAACTTAAAGTATTACATTGTGTCGTTGTGTC